ACCATGTAGGATTTGGACTAGAAAAATATTGGACCATCACCTACAATACACTACATGTCGTTTTGAGAACTTACGCCAATCCTTTTTTTTTTTTCAATCTAAATATTAATTTTTTATTAGCTACCCAATCATGGTGGATGGAGAACCCTACTAATATGAGGATTTAAGAGTGTGCTCTGTGTAATTTCACTCGAGAATAATCAGATCAAGATCATCAGAATCTCGAAGACAGCCAATCACTTTAATGTTGCTTACACTAGTCTTAAAAAATATTAAGACGTGATTTTTTTTCCTCGACTTATTTTTGTAATGCTTTTGAAAATCGAACTTAACCATATTTAAAAAAAAAAACAATTGTATACCTTGGAATCCGATTTAACACAACTTTAACAGTCTTTCGTTAATTTCATCAAATTAGCGTCAATTGTGTTGACGTGTAAGGAGAATACCGTAGGTATGTCCTAGTTGGCACTGCTGGACCACCAAAACTGTTAGAACAACCAACCAGAAGCAGCCATGTGGCGTTGAAAAAGTGAGATGGTTGACCCATTGATCTTGCTGGGTGCTTGTAATTGTTAATGGAATTTTCACAGAAATCTTCTAGCAGTGGAAAATTGTGATTGTGCCTATTAAATTCCATTTTTCTCAAAAGCACAGCAAGTTCAAAATCCAAATGTACATTTGAGTTCCTTCATGAACCAGTTTCGAGTTTGCAATATTTTTAAAAGATGTAGATAAGTAAATTCGAAACTGGTTCGCAAAGGAACTCATGTCCTTCCCCACCAATCTTCTTCTGCAGCTATCCATTTTTAAAGTCCAGTAATTACCATGCCGATCGCCAGTTTTGTAGGAAATGGAGGTGGTGATGGGGAGGGGAAGAGAAGCCAAGAGGGAGGGCGCGGATAAATGTTGGGAATTGGGAATTTTCTTTTTAGTTTTTTTTTTTTAATTTTAATTATTGAATAGTTAGAAGTAGAATTTGATCGAAATAGCCACTGCATTTTTGCCATATGATGCCACATCAGCTAGTTTAACGAAATAAATAAATGGAAAATTGTTAAAGTATAGTAAAAATTGAGTTTTAGAGTGTAAGCAGTGATATTTTTGTTTGAGTTTTAGAGTGTAAGCAGTGATATTTTTGTTTTATGAGAAAATGGGATTAAGTTCAATTTCTAGGGTCAACGTAAAAAAAATAAGTTTTTTACTTTTATATAATGGTTTAGTAATATTTCTTTTCACTTATAAATGAGATGTCAAATGTTCAAATGATGACGAGTTAAACTTAGCTAAATCATTATGTTTCTCCTCTGAACCTTTAAAACATTTTTTAACAATGCAGCATACTTTCCTGATCTAAAATTCAATCATTTAGAATTTTTATATCTAGTTCAACTATTATTTTCATGGAAACTAAATACAGTCAAACTTATGAGCAACGATTTTCCTTCTAAACTCTAAAATGTTTGTGGAATACATTGGAAAAATGCAAAAAGCCAAAACCACGGGAGTGGTGTAATATAAAAACCGATCCTAATCCGTGGCATCGTAACCACCCCGAACTCAACCATGAACTGTACGAAATAGCAAAATCGTCAAGCCTCCACCTGTCATGTTTCCTTTGTTGGAGGTTTTCTCATTGTTGAATCAATGACTGGTAGAACCAATTCTCACCTCGATTCCGACCAATCAAATCGTTGGAAAAGAAGGTAACTAGTCTCATATTTTATATTGATTCAAAAAACACATTTCTTACAAGCAACAATCATCCAAAAAAACCTAATTGATGGCAAATAAATTTTAGTAAAACAATAACGTATGGAGCTGCGTCTATACCCTAAAATATATTTTAGTTTACTCCAATGTCTTAATGGTTGTTTGAAAAAAAAAATTCAATGTTTGGAGGAAAACAGAAAGAAGAAGGTATCTTAAAAATCTGTAGGCAATTGTAAAAATCATATATACACAAAAAGCATGAGTTTTTACCATAAAATAACCGGTCAAGACGTTCATGAACATTTCATTTCATAGAAATAGAAATGCTATGACTTAAAATCATTTTTTAAATTTCATTTTATTTTTTATTTTTGATTAAGGAGTATGATTAGCTTTTAACATTCTAAAAAAGAAAAATTCAGTTATTATGAAAAATGGGACAATGATGAGGCAGTTTATTCTACCGTGGGGATAATTTTTTATTTTTTAACATGGTATATAATTACTGTTTTGTCCTCGTATTGTAAATAGTGTGTGTTATAAGGGTAAAAGAAGAAAAACAGAGATATGATTGCCATTTTGAGAAAGAGGTTGACGATGCCTCTTTTCTTAATAATAGTACAAGCAGAGAGCACATACTTTGTGTGTGTGAACAATTTCTCTTAATAAGTGCATATTTTTTTTAATATTACATAATTATTGTTTTGTCATCCTTATGTAAATATTGTGTATCAAAAGTGAGGGTAAAATTAGAAAAATAAGTATAAAAAGAGGGTAAAATTGGAAAAATAGGGATATGATTGTCATTTTGTCAAAAGGTACAAAATTACTATTTTGCCCTCCTTTTGTCAATAGTGTGTATCAAAAATGAGGGCAAAATAGAAAAAAAAGGTGGCAAAAAGTTGACAAGGAGGGTTCTCATAATAATAGTATAGATGATTAAGGGAGGGTAGTTCAAAACCATTACATTACTTTAGAATGGAAAGTTTTAAATCCGAAATGTATTGGTAGAAATCTAACACCTTATCCATTAAGATGAATACTTAGTAAAATTTACGCATCATAGAACTCACACAGATGTACATGTCATGTATAGTGCACCCAAATGACTTAGTTTATTGTGCGAGTTAGCCCAAAATTTTCACACCTAAATATAAATATATCTTTGTAAAACACAACTAGGCGTCAAAACGATTAATTGGCCAACCAACCAACTAATGGCAGATCTAAGACTCTAATCCCGTGGGATCACGGTGTAAACGATTCATGTGCACGCAACGCAATTTATTTATTTATTTTTAATTTTTCATTGAGTTATTTAGTCGAACAATTGGTGGGCATGTCATTATGCCTAATTTGTCGGACTTGGATTGTCTGCCCTCCCATTTTGGTGCCCTTCCAATGCCCTCCTGTTTTGTGTGTTTACGGTTAAGCCACGTCAACATTTTATATTATTTTTTTTATAAAAATAATAAAATAAAAAGAAATAGTAATATAAAATGCTGACGTGACTTAACCGTGACCACACAAACAGGGGGCACGAGGAGGGCACTGAAATGGGAGGGCAGACAATCCAAGTCCTAATTTGCAACTTCCAAAGCTTGATGACGAGGCTTGTCGAGCATCACTTCTCAAGGCCTACCAAAATTTTCCAAAGAGGCATTTCAACAGATAAATTGTGGGGAGTTTGAGTTTCAAGACCCATACCAGATGGCCATAGAGTCCTCGGGCGACCCTTCCCCCATATTTCTCAACCTTCATAGGATCCCAGGGAACCCCTGGATTCGCCCATGCAACCAAGAAAAGACACATGGTGGTTGCTTTTAAAAATTCTTAACTCCGAGCTCCTCACCTCTAAAACCAGAAAAAATTGAACAAATGCTATTCATACCACATGATGTGGCAAAAGATTGTAACCGCCACATTATTTAGTTGTTCCATTTAGTGTTGATTTATATCTCATTGGATGCTAATTCAGGGATATGGTCATTTGAGGAGGCTAAAACGGCTTTAGCCCCTAACCCCTTCCCTCTGACCAGTGATATATGCTCACCTCAAGTTTTCATTTTGAGGAAATCTGAGGACCAACTCTATATCAGCCCTACGATTTTATTCAATAACATCTAATGGCTCATATTCTTTTACAACCTATTTATAGCCATTTTTAAGTTCGATCAACCAAATTAGGTTGCATATTGTGTGGTTTGACCGAACTCCCATTCCTTTTAGTGTAAAAATATTGATGTACTAAAAAAATTTGTTTTAATTTGTGAAAGAATTTGAGCCGCTAGATCCCACTAAATAAATTTCTACGATTGAGATAGAGTTGGTTCTCACTCGTCCTCGAATTAAGGATCTTAGATTAGCATCACTATCCCTCTCACACATAGACATGCTCTTAGCAAGTTAATTGGTTTGAATAGAGTTCATTTTAGGATAGTCTTTCGTTACGTCGCAAATTTGTTATTCAAGATAATAGAAAGTAAGATCTTTTACAAAAAAGAGTTACCCATAATTAAGTATCAAAATCGATCATCAAAGTCAAATATAAAAAATCTAACTTCCAAGTCTAAATGATTACATGTTTCAAATATGAGAATTTTTTAGTATTTTCAGAATATGTGCCATAATACACATGAAGGAAAACTAAAAAAAGTTTTCTCTCATCTTATATTATGGCAGATGGTGTACCAGATAATTTTCTAGTAACACAAAAACATGTTTCAGTAACATAAAAATTTTTCTCTTCAAATATACTCTGAAACACAGCTCAGTAACCGTTTTGCTAGTAGGAGTGTTATACCCACATACCCCTGTTTACTTCTCACACATATTTTTAATTTTTGACCATTGAATCGGATGAATTGAAGAAGATTAAATGATATAAATTAACAAAAGATGTGAGAGAAGTAGAAAAGAGTGTGTGAATATCACATCTCTGGCTAGTAATGAATGACATGTTGTGAGTAGGATTCTCTTTTTTTTTTTTCCCCTCTTCTCCTATTTGAACGGTCACGGTTAAACTATGTCAACATTTTATATTAATTTTTTATAAGAAGAGAAAAACAAAATAGAAAATATGAGAAGAGGGGATGAAAGTGGATGAAAAAAGAAGGAGATGAAAGGAAATGGAAAAAGGAGGGACGAGAATCTACTGTTCGAGAGGGTCTTTCATAACTTTTTGAAGAAACCGTTTAAATTGATAAATTTCCCACGAAAATACCGGCCCTTCAAATCCAATCCTCAAAAACCCATTAAAAAACCCCAAACATCTTACACCCAAAAACTTAATAAATAAATAAAAAATTAGAAACACGCACAGCGGTTTGTTTTGCTGTGAGAGGGATGAGAGAGTTCATAATCCTCAGCTACTTCTCTTATTCTTCTTCTTCCTCCATTGCCACTCTTCCGAATCCCCATGCCGCCAACAACCACCACTCCACCAGACCCTACAAAGACAACACCAACAAACCCTTATCCCTCCCTCCCTCCAAATCCTCCCCTCCAATCTCCACCCTCCATTCCCGCCCCCCTCCCCTCTCCGCCGTCCGCTGGGACCCCAACAAAACCCACCTCTGCTACTTCGCCGACCTCGCCTCAAAACTCGCCCGTGACGGAAAGCTTCAGGATTTCGCCATGATTGTCGAAAGCGTCGTGCTTTCGGGCGTCAGGGGATCCGAGTTCACGGCGGCGCTCAGGGTTGAGTTGGTGGCGAAGGGCATTTCGGGGTTTTTGAAAGAGGGGAAGGTGGGGGTCGTTGTTGATGTGCTGAGTAAGGTTGATGAGCTCGGGGTTCCACCGTTGAAGCTGTTTGATGGGTACGCTATGGAGTTGCTGGGGAGACAGTGTCGCCGGCTTTTGAAATGTGGGCAAGTGCAGGAACTTGTTGAGCTCATGGACGTTCTTCAAGGTAATTTTCAAATTATTTCTTGATTAATTTGTTTAATTTATTGAAGTATAAACCTGCATTGGTTTTATAATTAAGCCAGTCATGGTGTTCAAAGATTTCAACTTGTTAGAGAAATGGTTAAGTACCCAACTTTTGGAATTCATTGGCATATAATACTTTTGAAGTGTAATTAGTATTGGTAATGTGTTTGGTTGCTTCTAAATGCTGGATTTAGAAAAAGGGCGGTCGAAAATGTTGAAATTCTTGTCATGAGTTAGTGTAATGTGAATGGGAAGGGAAGAATTAATGTTTCATGAGAATTTTTGTCTTGGAAGAATGAGCATATGATGAGCCATGGTTGAGAACATGAGACTGTTTGGGTTGGTAACAGATAATACTTGGTTCAGGTTTTCATTTCCCGATCAAAGAACTGCTGGAGCCATATGAAGTTATCAAAGTTTGTGTTGATAAACACTGCCCGAAATTGGCAATAAGGTATAATTGACTGTTCTCTTATGAGTCGGTCCGAGGGTTTCTCATATGTCTTCTGCATTGCTCATACATTTTCTTTTAGCAGGTTTAGATTAGAAAGGGTTCATACTCTTTCCAAGGATGTGAAATTTTGCTTGTTTTTCAATAGCACTGCTTTCTTCATTATGCTTTGGTCATTACATTTTGCAGGTATGCTTGTATTTTTCCACATGCGCATATTTTATTCTGCAACATTATGAATGAATTTGGAAAGAGAAGGGCGTTGGAGTCTGCTTTGACAGCATATGAAGCATCCAAGGAAAACCTGAGTGGTTCTAATATGTATGTCTATCGCACAATAATTGATGTATGTGGCATCTGCAAAGACTACATGAAATCTAGGTACATCTATGAGGTATTTACCACCGTGATTGCCTTCGTTATTTGGAACTGTTTTGCTTGGTTGGAACTGTTTAACTCTTTTTATTCCATAACTCAAAACTGATTTTTCCTTTTAATATCTATGTTTTCCTTATGTGGTGGTTTGTGCCAACTGGGACATTTCCCTTCAATTCTTTCAGCATTTGTATTTCATGTGAAACTATTTAGTATCAATTTTTCTTTACTAGGTCCTTTTTTCTTGAGAAAATTGATGGTTTAATTAGCACCTTGAATCTTGATAATGTTTGTTATTATTTTGTTTTCTTTAATAACAAGAAGAGAAAGGAACAGAGACAAGGATGGAAGAGTGGATGAAGATCGAAGGGAGAATAAACAAAAATAAATATTAAAAATTACTGAATTGCTTTTAGTTTTTATTTTAAAATGTAGTTTTTGTATACTTTATCTGTTTTCTCTATCATCTTCATCTCTTTCAAAACATAACCATATTTTCCAAACGAATCCTTATACATGTCTATAACTTTAATGCAGTCTGTGAGATTACAAATCAGGATCTTCATCCCCATGATTTTTTCTGCAGGACTTGCTCAAACAGAAGGTCACTCCGAATATTTATGTTTTCAACAGTCTCATGAATGTAAACGCACATGATTTGACCTACACATTCCATGTTTACAGGAGTATGAAGGTAATGCTGTCTGTCTCTCTTTCATACGCACACAGCCCGGACATCTATTATTTTTCTTTCAATGTTACTCAATACAGAAATTGTTCTTCTGGTTGCATTGGACAATGTTATGCAATAAAAAATTGGTTTCTTGTGAATTAAGCTACAGTTATCTAAATCTATTATCCTCAATCCAGAATCTTGGCGTCAGAGCAGATATGGCATGTTATAATATCCTCTTAAAGGCATGTTGTCTTGCTGGGCGAGTTGATTTGGCACAGGATATTTACAGAGAAGTACAGCATTTGGAATCAACGGGAGTGTTGAAGTTGGATGTCTTCACGTACAGCACTATTGTAAAGGTAAATATTAATTTGCTTACGAGATGTTATTTTCTTACTGTTGATAGTAATATGCACAAGCACACGAATACTATTTTTCTTAGTATCAATGGATTTTCCATAGAGAGGCGTTTACGATCTCCATAACTAATGATCAATCGTTTAGGTCTTTTCAGATGCAAAATTGTGGCACATGGCTCTAAAAGTCAAAGAAGACATGCTATCTGCAGGTGTTATGCCTAATACAGTTACGTGGTCATCATTGATCAGCGCCTGTGCAAATGCAGGTCTTGTTGAGAAGGCAATTCAATTGTTTGAAGAGATGCTTCTGGCTGGCTCTGAACCTAATTCACAGTGTTTTAACATCCTTCTACATGCTTGTGTCGAGGCTTGCCAGTATGATAGGGCTTTTCGGCTTTTCCAGTCTTTGAAGAGCAAAAACTACAAAGGTATAGTAGTTTGCGTGGAGCATATAGTTATCTACATTGCATCATCATGAGTATGGTTTTCCACCTCTAATTTGATTTCACCTGAACTTTCTAAAGGGCTTTCTTTCAAACCCACAACTACAACGTACAATACTATGATGAAGGCCTGTGGTACTGACTACTACCATGCACAAGCACTAATGGATGAGATGAGAACAATAGGTCTTTATCCTAATCAAATAAGCTGGTCGATTTTGGCTGATATCTGCGGAAGCTCAGGAAATGTCGATGGTGCTTTGCAGGTAATAGATAAATTAATTTGATCAACTTAATTATTTTATAGTTCTTTCTGCATCATTGTCCAAATTTTCCTTTTAATTTAGAACCAAAATTCAAGGAAAAATATGTCATTGTCAGTGTACAAAGTCACGATGAAACAAAATAAGTCAGGGACAAGAATATAACAATTTTTTGGTTCAGTGCAGATTTTGACAAATATGCGTGCAGGTGGGATGAAACCTGATGTTGTTGCATATACTACAGCTATCAAGGTTTGAAGCTTTCCTGTCTCGTGATTTATCTTGTTTGTAACCACTATTCTTCCTACATGTGCTTAATTAATTAGATGCAAAATTGCATTATTTTTGTTTCCACCCTAAATGTTGATGCATCATGTGCTTTGGTTCATAGGTCTGTGTGGAAGGTGGAAATTTAGAGCTAGCATTGTCGCTGTTTGCAGAAATGAAAAAATATCAGATACGCCCAAATTTTGTGAGTACCAAGAACATTTCCAATCATATATCCTAACACATTCTGAGGAAAGTTTTCGTACAAATAAGCATGATTTACAAATAATTCCATTGGTGTACTTTTGGATTTCCCTTTAGTATGTTATGTTCGACTAGTCCTGCCATAAGGATGGAACTGCTCCGTCTTGTATGAAACATAGTTGCCAAAGTGATTTTTTTGCTTTATTTTATACAAGAATTTCCATACATGTCTTGACATGATTCTGCGTATAATTCTAATGACAATGCAAACAAAATGATCACAAGTCCACCGTGTAAATCCTTGGCACTTTTTTCCAGGTGACATATAATACAATTCTGAGGGCTCGTAGTAGATACGGTTCTGTGAGCGAAGTGCAACAATGCCTGGCTATATACCGGGACATGCGGAATGCGGGGTATACCAGCACATGTTTAGGTTGTCATGAACAAGTACATTTTGCTAATTATGATTTATTTTGCAGTTACAAATCTAACGATCGTTTCCTAGAGCAACTGATTGAGGAGTGGTGTGAAGGAGTTATACAAGACAGCAATGCCAAACAAGGAGAGTTCAGTTCCCATGACAAAACTGACATAGGGAGACCTGGAAGTCTGCTGCTTGAAAAAGTTGCAGAACACTTGCAAAAGCATACTGCCGAAACCTTAGCAGTTGACCTTCAAGGACTGACAAAGGTATTCTCATGTACCAGCCAATTTATATTCTTCGCAATCTCGGTGAACATGTTATTATGTGATTTCGTTTGTGCATTTTTTTAAATAGGATTCATTTCTTTGTTCTCATGCTAATAAGTTCTTAAATTGCTGCAATAATTGTTGACAGGTTGAAGCTCGGATTGTTCTTCTTGCAGTTCTACGAATGATCAAAGAGAACTACAGCTCAGGTATGAAAGGATTGGGCATTCATTTATTCTTTCTGATTTTGGATAGGGTAAAAATCAGTCTTGAATAACATTAGCAAATGAGAAATGGAAGAAGAAACGTATGATCCAGAGTTTCGAACTTTCAGCACGCTGATGCCAAGACTTGTTTATGATTTGCAGGGCATTCAGTAAAAGAAGACATGCTGATTGTTGTAGGAGTCCACGATGTTGATGGAGGCTCAACTACACAGAATTTAGAGGTGAAAGATGCAATAACGAAACTTCTGCAGGATGAATTGGGGCTCAAGGTTGTTGCAACAGGACCGAAAACGGGACTTGATACGACAATAGAAGCGGAGAACATTACTGATTCAGATCAAGATTCAGAAGAGATGACAAGTAGGAATGAATTAACGACTGACTTGACATATTCCACTAGACGACCCGTTGCACTAGAAAGGCTAAAGGTAACCAGGGGATCGTTGCTACAGTGGCTGCGGAAAAGAAGTGCCCCAAGAAGGTGACTGCTTCAATGTATGAATTCAAACTTGTACATGTTACTAAAACAACCGATAATTATTCTTTTTTACTTGTGTATACTGGTACCGCTGAATAAGCCTGTACTGCACTGGTGTCACATGTAAATTATACACAACGGGCAAATGTAATTTGCAGAAGCAATGAAAATAAGCTTATTATCCTTCATTCTCTTATATTCTTTTAGTTTTTTCGCGTCCTTAAACTACAGAAATCGTGTCGATCATTTCTAAGTTATAATTACTCAACCTCATAGATGCAACAACGCGGCCACGAGAAAACGAGCATATCATCCTGGGGGAAAGAAAGTCACAAAATCATTGTTACTTCATTCCATTCCTTCTCCTTTCAACTGAAACAATTCAAAAGATATTACATCTTTACAAACTAATGCCTAAATCACTCGGCCGTATCCCCAACCATTTTATATCTGGTGTGGTCAAATTCGCACTGTCATATGACATGTTCTTCGACCACAGCCGTAAACTGATAAAATTTCCAGCCTGTGCAGATCCCTGTCCACAAGAGCCAGCACCGGTTAGCTTCAATTCCAGCTTCAACTTCCATAAAAAGAGTCTGGTGGCTACATCCTGCTGCCCCTCTGCAGTCAGGATAATACATGGAAATCTGTTGTAAAACCGATCCTCAGAAAATCGAATAAAAGCAGCATCCTTCTCAACCAACAATATGAACAATGCATCACTCTGCACATCATTCTACATCCAGAGATTCCTGGCCAAATGAAAAAATTGCTAACCCTGGCCATTCATTAATCAACTGCACTGCCCCTGCAATAGATAGAAGAAGAGATGACTTTCAACTTGATCGCTCAACCTGAATTTAATCTGCAATAGAATTTATATAAGAATACCATTGTTTACCTTTGAAATTCAGGACAATCAAAATCATTGAAAAGCTTCAAGCTCGTTGGAAAACTGCGGCAATTGAATGTCTCCAGGATGACATGTGCATTGTGACATTGGCAATGAAAATCTGAGACTTGATTCAATCGCTTCCTGACCCGAATTAAGACCATGCTGATGCACTTGAAATCACATAGCTGCCTCAATTAGTACTTCTCATCTGGTGGTTAGCAGTCACAATTTGAATTCAGATGTTATAATATGAAAAAGGTATTTAACATATACCATACTAAAAAATGATTCAAAATTATCTAAGGCGGATAAGAGAAATACCTTGTGAGCATACAAGATGTTCCTTTCACCAAGGACCTGCAACTAGATTACAATTCCACCGTGCTGCATGTCAGACAAACAATTTCACAGGCATACGTAAAATTGGTGCTACAATTGTAGCTAAAACATAAAAACAGTAACAGAAGTTGATTACTACTTGTAAAATTTCTCGTGACGTTACATGTTACATACAACATATAGTACTTGTAGTAAGAAGGATAAACAGTATCCTGTTCAAAAGAAAGCTTCAGTTTTGTCAATAACCCTCCTTGTCTAACTGTATCATCTTAATACCTGCCTAGAACATGAAGTACCCAAATTCCCCAAGCTATTACTCTTGCAAAAGAAAGACAGAGCTACCTGCTTCAACATTTTCTTGGAATGTCTTGAAGACTCCTTTCATAAGCCCCTAAAATCAATTTGATTACTTCCTTTTGATGGCTAAAAGTTGCTTTGTAGTCTACAACAAAACCAAGTCCGCAATACAGCACCAAAATTCCCTGATACGAAAAGTTGTGAAAAAACCCTGTTCCATAATCTTGCTGCAAAAGAACAAGGAAGAGTTAGTCTGAGGCTCACCATCAATTCTTAAATCTGGAAGCTGGAAACTAACATTCTGGTAAAAACATGTTTAATGAACTGCATGCTGTTTGTTTTGCCATACATATATAGGTGCATCCCTTTTCAGCTTGGTAGATCATATGCAAAGTAATTGATATAACAGGACCAAAAGTTACATAGAGATTTGAGGCACCCAAATAAATTGGAAAATGCGATTAATAATCTGATACTTTTCTTTGTTCACTTCCAGCCCAGAATCAAGACTGCCTGTGTTTCAAATGAATTAACTGCCCCAATTATTTTCATCTTGGGTTTAGACACAACTAGAAAAACTGTCCGCGCTCTGCTGCGGGGTTTCAAAGTATAATCGATAATAATCATGAATAATATCCACAGAAAAATTCACTCAAAAGGCAGCATCAACAAATAATTGGATGAACTACCCAATTTTGAAAGTAAACGATATGAATTCACATAGATCAATTGTAACATATATAGCATATACCAGAAATCATTTTAATTAATTTCCAGAGACCAATTCCCTTTCTCAGGTTCCAACCTGAAATGTAGTACTTGCATACTCAAAACAAAATATAAAACATTGGTTTCTCACAATCAGCTTTGGGAATACACACGCACTTTTCCACCACCCTGAGCAATTAAAAAATGGCAGAAGTAACCGACGAGGAACTGCTAAACAGATGCCATATGTTAATCCTAGCCAGCCAGACTTTTTCGATATTTTTCAGTCTGTTAAACATCTTACCTGATGACAACCTTTCTTCCTTTCCTCCATAAAACAAAAGAGTATTATCCTAACTCTTCATCTTTGTATATAATAACTATTTAGTAAATGATTTTTAAAGCAAAATACTGAAATGTCATTGTACATCTTTGAGATGATGCACGGTTGTTTCGTACTCATCTGAACTATATTACATATACATTCTTCAGATAGACTTCCATTGCTAGCAAGTCTTGCATTCAGAATTTCAAAGATGCAATCGATATGCAGATCTTCAAAATAATACTTAAAAAAATTAAGGAATAACAAAACAGCATTTGAGTTTCCAAGTCCCTTTGGACCAAACATCTAAAGACGTGCTTAATGTAAAAGAGATTTTTCAGACCAACTTACAAATACTTGGATGAAGTAATAATCCCAATTTTGGGAGTAAAGGATATCAATTCACATAGAACAATTGTAACATATATTGCATATACCAGAAATCATTTTAATTAATTTCCAGAGAGGGTTCAGGGTATATAGAAATGGAAACAGTTGTTAACAAATACTGTAGCTTCAACTGGAATACTGAAAAAAAATAAAGGAACAACAAACAGCATTCGCGATACATCACAAATGAAAGTAGCCTCTCACCGTGAGACTTCTTTTTCTCTAAACCAACTCTTCTCTCTTTTGGCCTCACTGAAAATACAAAAAAGATGAGATTTTAGAAATATTTGGAATCCAACGCATACTAAACTTTGATAACAGTATACCTTAGTATGCCTACTACACATACTATGACCGACTTCATTTGTCATTCCTTTCAAACCCCAAATAGTAAATTCGGGAAGACTTACCTTTCACTTCGTCAATGGTGGCCAAACAAAAATCCTAAACCTTGATCTCTTCACATTTCCATGTCTCTCAACTGTGCACTGGAAGCTCAACACAGGAATTGTAGGACCCCATATGTACTCTCTATACGAAAGCTGGATTGAACAGAGATACACAAATAAGGATAACTCAGTAGGAAAACACAACATTTTGGCTAAAGCGAAGTTGAGCAGATAGAATACAAATAAGAAAATTATGGATTTTAAAACAGCAATTATAATTTGTTCAAAATCGACTTCTGTCTCAATTCCTTCCCAACAATCAGGACTCTTCAAGCAGTAGTACATTTCAGCCTAGCTGACAATGATAAAAAGTATCCTTGCATCATTTCCCTTGTGCTTTCACTTTCGCGTTCTGTAAGTAGTAATTGTTTGTACTCTTCTCTTTTGTACACCCTTAACATAATCAAAATTAGAAGATTTTTAGATCATTCAGGGGGCTTATCAAATTTTCTTTCTATATTATGTCTTCTCAAAAAAAAAATATTTCACACAACAGAAAAATGATAAAAGCTATACACTTTATGAAACCAGAAGGTTCCTGAAGCCTTTCCTTCGATGGTCAGCAAGGGACAACGGCAGAGAAATTATTATTATTGGCATTGCCTGGAAACTCTAATGATCCGTTTCTTCCAGTACAATAATTCTTAAATACTAGTTGATTGCAGGGCAAGTAAGCATCATATTAGTTAGTATCACTACATAATATCCTTAATTTAACCCAATTTTAAATGACTCAAACCTTTCTTCCATACATCTTAATAAATTAAGTTTCTATTAATTCTGGTGTATTTTGATTTTCCCTCTCTTTGTTTGATTTCAGCTCTAGTAGAACATGCTTTGTTATATTAGATACGTCTGCTCAAAAGGAGGCGGCTAGAGCCTATAAACGCTTATAAAGAAGATATTCCATAAAGTTTCCATGTTGAGTTATGATCAAGGCAGAGTTAGAGTCATATCAGGATCACTACAGGTTCTGGGAAAGGATTGCCAAAAGAAAGCATGCATAACTTCTCCTACAATTACCTAAGCATCCTATTAATATATGTGACATGTTACAGAGACTACAATCTGGGTGCCCGAAAATTTGTTATTGCTGGATTAGGGAGAACCAGAAATAATTTATGTAAGCCAGTTGCAGCTACAATTTGAGGAAATATACAAAGCCTAATAAAAAAGTTCGTAACTTCAGATTATCTTATCATACAATTTGGTGGAGCAAAAACTAAAACTACCAACATCAATATGCAGTGTTAGTCAGAAAACAACTATTTCATATTCATAACCATTAACCTCTAATACTCTGAGCAATCTTAACATTAGCCTGCAAATTATCCGACCCCTACCCTGCGGAGGTATTATATGCTTAATTTGTCAACCAAATAGAGATCACTTCACCTGACATCGACCAATAAGAAAGACCACTTGTCAAAAAAAAAAAAAAACCAATACCTGTGCTCCCTTTTTGTGATATCGCATTGCAATTTTGACACCATAATATCATAAAACGTCGAGCAAATGAATGAATGTGCACTTCCAATCAAATATCCAATCCTTTGTCATATATCTGCATGAAAAAAATGTAAACTACCCACTGTAGGGGCGATTGGGAGAAACCAAAAAAAAAAAAAAAAAGAGAGAAATCACAAGGAATTATTAACTTTTGGATTCACAAGTAAACTTAAATCAACAAACAAAACCAATACCTCTGATATTTTTCGTGTTTGAAAACAAAGCATAAACCCTAAACAATTATTCCCCTCACCATAGCCTTGTTGTTTTGGTATATGTTTACACTGAGAAGGAAAGGAAAGAGCATCATGATAAATTTAGTCCCAATTCAATCCCAATATACTGGGAACGATTATAATAGTACAGATTAAATAAACGCACAATCAAAGAAAATCAAAGGTCATTTTTGGATATTAAAAAAAAAAAAACAGTAATTAGAAAAATTAACATACTCTTACCCTAAACTGGAGTAAAAATCGTCCACCGATAAATGATTTCAATAGTCTGTCATCCTTTCCAGAGCTTCAATTAACTTTGTAGTCCGAATTCATTTTGTTAAATATTTTCATCCTGGAAAGAAAAAAATTAAACAGAGCAACATTCCCAAATTAAAGACACAAAAAAAGAACCCAAATTAAAATCTTGGGTTAAAACCCTAGTTCTTGAAATTGGGTACCTGGAGAACATGGCAATGAAGGTGACGGCGGAGGCGGAGAATAGCGGAAACTAAGAACAGCGAGAAAGAGAATCGAAAAGCACAGAAAAAGCGGAGAAGAAGTTGAACTGCAGTGATGATGATGGACGCGTGGGCTAGGAGGTATATTTCTAAATGAATGGCATAGTCGTAATCAAAGTGAAATCAACCCAAAATTACTGTAGTTGATAAATTTTAACAACTTTCTGGAAAATATATTCAGGCATCAAATTTTTCAAATTTTCCAAAAAGTTGATAAGATTTATGTTTGGTAGGAAGATAAAACAGAAGCCTATGTAAAACAGTAAAATTAATAGATACGCATTGAAAAGCTGATTGAATCCAATCAAAAGAGAGAAGCTTACCTGCAATCTGCTTCAATGCAATGTCCCGACTCCCAGCCATCACCAGTCTCCAGGAACTTATACAAAATAACAACTTTGGTCAGAGTTCAGAAAAAGTGATAGGAATAAAAAGCTCAGTTCTGTTTTTAAAATGTTTAGAAAGAATAAAAGAGTAGCTTTAGAAGAATGACTGATTTGAGTTGAATAATGTAATAATCAGCTACCCCATCACCACCATTCTTAGTAAATTACAGATTTAAACATAATATGTCAGAACTTGTGCAAGTAATTGACTACAACAAATGGTACTTTATAAAAGTTACAAATACGCATGTATGAATTTGAAGAACACTTCAAACTTAGAGATGAATTGTCTTTTTCTTTTTTTCTTTTTGAACTAAAAATTAACAAGTAATTCAGTTTAATAAAAAGTAAGAGAGGAAAATAGAATAAATTGTAAGAACTGGAAAGAAGGGAAAAACATACCAATATTTGGAATATGAGAAATCTTGTGCCATTCCAGGCCGCTCTCCTCGTTGCATCTCTCTTTTAGAACGGGACAATTACAAATGTCTATTGTTTTTAATTTGGTGAGGCATTTCATAGCTTCAGCTGTAGGAAAATAATTCAGATTCATGCATCTGTCTATACATAGGGACTGAAGAGATGCAAAGTTCCCCAAAGTTCCCCAACCACTCGGGAGATAAGAAAAGGTTTAGCTTCTATCTGATTTCAATTATACAATTGACCGCTGTGGTTGAATATAATCATATTATCATTAAATCCCAATAAAAACAATAACTCTGAGAACTAAAGTTTTGAAGAAAAGGGGTTGTATCACTGTTCATCAAGTTTACAAATCCAGGAGATAAACAATTTACAATTTAACACAATGGGTTTTATTTATTGCTGATTAATAGAACTCTACCAAATTCAATAACACAATAATCAAAATTCAGTTCCAAAAATAACAATAGTTTAGAGAATTGAAGAATTGAAGAAAAGGTGTTGTACTTGTGTTCGTGGAATGGCATTGCCTTCCCAGCTGGAGCCATGGCTCTCGAACTGAACCCTCAAGCTTTTGGCCGGTACTACTCTGCAAAAACAAAATCAGGAAAATTTAATAATTTCAGATTTGGTCATAACCCACCAAATTAATTTACAATCACAAACAAAAAAAAGGGAAGAAAATAATGAGTTAAGTGGGACAAACAATAAAGAAGGGAGAATCCACTTTACCAACGAGGTCCAGGCGTCGGAGATGTTCCTGGGTTTGAACATTTATACGGAAAAGCAACTGCAAATATACGGATAGAGGGAATTTGAGGTTTGTAGTTCATCTACTCGGCAATTTCTTACCATTGATACACCTGAGTAGTGAGACAGCTTCAGATAATACTATTCAATTCCACAGGTAGTTATAAACCATAATCTTATAATTTCTCAAAATAAAAATCAATGGGACTAAAAACAAATGGTACATATCAACTTTGATGATTTCTCTTATTTTCCCTCTCTTCCTTAGCAACCAAATAGCAATTGAAAATTACCAAAAACTGAAAAGATTGAAGTACCTGGGCCCGTTGCAATGCCTGGGTTGCCATCTCCACTTAGTGTAAAAAAAATCATGGCGGGCATTTTCGGAGCAGCTAAACCCTTCATCCACAAACCACAATGTAAGTAAAAAATCAACAAAATAATTTGTAATTGCATTAATCCGTTGAAAAAAATATGCTAAAGTGCAGCAGCCCAACCCGCCTGTTTTGCAGATATGAGACAGAGAGAGATGAGAGGAATTAATGCAAAACCCAGCCCAACACGCGTGAGAGCTGATCCGAGGTCCAAATGCAGCAGCCCAACCCGCCTGTTTTGGGTGAAGCACAGCCCACACCCGATGGCACAACCGTAATTAACTCAAAATCGAATTCCAATTTCGGAAGCAAAATGAATACTTTAGTTTCAGTCCCAACTTTAGACTTGAGTAATATGCATCTGGATAAATCTAATCAAAAGAGAGAAGCTTACCATGAATCTGGTTCAATGCAACTTCAAACAATTGGGAATTGCCGTTACTCATCATTCGCCCCTACTCGAAATCTGTCTCAAGGGACAATTAAAAAATAACAACTTTGGTGAATGCCAGAGTTCACAAAAAATGTTAAGAAAGATCACTTCTAAATGATATCTTATGGTTTCAACTAATTGACTATAACAAATGGTATCTTGAAAAACGTTACAAATACGAAGAACACTTCAAAATTTAGACACGAATTTTTATTTTATTTTTTTCTTGAACTAAAAATTATATATTTACTTCAATAACTGACTAATTAACTAAAATTCGTAGAGAAGAGAACAATCAAAAGAGATGTGAGAACATGATTGGAATAGGTATTTAATCAGATGCATATCATGATGTAAATATATCTTATCACAATTTTGTATTGGGGATTGAAATCTACCATGTACATTAAATTGTAGTTTCAGGAAAACGAAATAGCAACATACATACCACATAACAAGTGATTCACTTTAATGAAAAGGTAAGGGAAGAAAATAGAATACATTGTGCGTAATTGATTTAAGAACCGGAAAAGAAAAAACATACCAATATTTGGAATATGAGAAATCTTGTGCCATTCCGAGCCGCTCTCCTTGTTGTATCCCTCTTTTAGAACGGGACAATTAACAATGTATATTGCTTCTAATTTGGTGAGGCATTTCTTAGCTTCAGCTGGAGGTAGACACTTCAGATTCCTGCAGTTACTTATCCGTAGGGATCGAAGAAATGCAAGGTTCTCCAACCACTCCGGAAGAGCCTCCATTCCGTTAAAGTTCCATATTTCCAAATGAGCTAGAGAAGTCAAGTGTTTAACTTGTTCAGGCAGAGACCGAAGCTTAGGCCAACCATACAAATGTAATGATTCAAGTTGTGGAATAACCTCAAAAGGAGGGAATGAATCGAGCTCCTTCCAAAACCCACCAATTATCAATTCCTTCAAGCTGGTGAGGCTTTTAAATCCACTGCGCAGTTTTTTTAACTCAAGATAATCAACCTTCTCCAACTCACGGAGGTGTGTGAGGTTTTCTAAACTAGGAATAGAGTGGAGGGATGGTGGGAGGCCGTGAATCTCAGTGTATCTTAGCTTTTCACAATGAGATATTGTCAAATCCTGAAGAGAGGTACAATATTCTAACCCACTCGGCAGGCTTAATAATTCAGGACAGTTGCCAATAACCAATTTACAGAGAGATCGGAGGCCCTGTTCCAATGCATGGTCCTGTTCAAATTGAATGGACGTCAGCTTGGAGCAATTTCTGATGGTCAACTCACGAAGAGAGGTGCAGCATTCAAGTCCCTTATGTAGACTGGATAACTCATTACAATCACAAATAGACAAAGCACGGAGAGAAGTGAGCTCGTACATGTCTGGAATGTGGTTTAGACTCTTGCAATCAGATATAAAAAACTCCTTAAGAGAGACAAGTTGTTGTAGCCCATCAGGCAGGCGCTCTAGATTATGACACCCGGAAATATGCAAGGACTGAAAAGAAAGCCAACAACCAAATACATCATCCGTTGTAATACAGGTTAAATCCGGACAATAATTTATCTCCAAATATGCAAGATTCTTGTTGTTTTTAAACATCCCTTCTGGCAGACAACCAAGTCCCTCTACTTCTTATTTTGAGAGAAGTAAGAGCGGTCAGGTTGCTGCTTATATTTGCTATTGGCATGCCGCTACCCATGGAATGTATCTCTAACTTTTTCAGAGATGGAAAATGACTGGGAGCACTTCTCAATTGATCGCAGTAGGTCAGAGACAGCTCCTCGAGGCATGGAAAGAGCACAACGTTTTCTGCAGATTCCTTCCATTCAATTAGATTCTTAGGTTCAGAGATATGTAATCTTTTTAATGAAGGAAAGGGACTCCCCATCATCCACTTCTCACCCATAAAGTATATAATCTTCAAATATTCCAGTTCAGGGTGTGCTGGTAGAAGACCTTCTAGTACATCCTCATCATTATTGTTGATCATAGACCTGTCTTCATCCCATTCAGGGTGTGCTGGTCCAAGGCCTTCTAGTACATCCTCAGCATTAATGCTTGACCCTTTCTCATATCCCCATCGAAAGACTAATTCACGCAGATTTGTCTTCTCTGCTAGTTTTGCTTTCTTCGCTTCCTCTCCATCTCTCACATGCTCTAGATTAAATATGGATAATCGGCCTTTCAATTGCTTTAAGCCAGCCAACTCCTCTATTCCACGACCTCTCTCCTTACCCACACTGAAAGAAGGTAAAGCTTGGAGATTAGTCAAACGCCCAATCCCAATTGGATATCTCTCCGCATCAAATGAAAAATCAAAATGTCTCAAGTTGATCAAATTTTGCAGTTCCTCTGGAAAACTTGTGACATATAGCATCTTCAACGTCTGTAGATTATAAAGCTTGCCAATAGATTTGGGGAGCTTTTTTATCCATGTATTGGAAACATCAAGATACCTCAAGCATTTCAACTTTTTAATTGAAATTGGCAACTCACTAATTTCAGCACCGCGTAATTTTAAGACGCGCAAACCTTTAAATCTTGAGAAGATGCCACCAAGTTTATCACCATTCAAATCTCCGTTTGGAATTACATGCAGTGCCGAGGTAGAGAGCTTTGCCATATGTCGATTCTCATCGGAGTCCTTGCTCTTTGATTTTGACACATGTTCTGCAAGATCGTGCACAAGATCATGCATCTTGCAACTGTAAACAGTATTTTCTTCCATTTCAACATCTTGAAAAAAGGAGTTCTCCAATAGAATATTAAAATATTCATTCCCTACATCCTCCATACTTTTGTTGGGACAAGGTTGGAGCAATCCTTGAGCCATCCAAAGTTGGATTAAATCCTCCTTTTTAATAATCTCATCTTTGACGAACATTGAACAATATGCAAAACATTGTTTCAAAGATGGTGATCTCAATTCAACAAAGCTCAACTTCAAAACTGAAAGGATTGTTTTTTCTCCTCCTTGCAAATTCCTTATTGTACTTTCTCCTTCTTGCAAATTCCATATTGTACTTTCTTGAATTGACTGCCATTCACCACTCGGTTTACGACGCATCATATCTCCCAATACCTGTTGGAACACGAGTTTGAATGTCTATCAATTGAGAATTCATAGGCTAAAAATTAACGACATGCAATAACTATGTTAACTGATCACTAGCATATTTTTAAAAAACAAATAGAAATATCATCAAATAAGGTCTTGGCAATGATTTGTGGGAGCTCCATGTAAGTGTTCTACTTCTAATGTGAATGAGACCAAACTATGTTTGGGATATATGTATTTTGGTATATAAGTAATTGAACATATATTATTATTGGACTTTAACATATTTCATAATTAAATATTATGAAGACCAGAATAATTAAGAAATCATTTTGAATTGTGAAGTAGTTAAAACCACGTCGACAACTGCTAGTAACGAACTCTATGATAGGAGGAGTGGTTATTCTAAAAACTCCTCTACACCTAAAAAAAAAGCTGTGGCCTTTCTAAAAAAGGTGACACCTGTCCACCCATTTAAACACCTTAACAACGTTAACTCGCTGCCATCTCCTTTGCGTCTCACCGACTGCCCTTGTCGGCTTCCAAAATTCCTCAAGACAAATGGGGATATACGAGCCGTTCCGGCAGGTCGGTATATGGAAGGAAACCTTGAGAGGTGATGACAACTGTAACACAGCTGCTTCTACAATTACACAAGTGGATTCTGGGACCGTAAACAAGGGGATATTTTCTCACTCTACTCCAACCTCTCTCCTCCCCAATTTTTGAGTAAATTGTAGCTATGATCCCTTAACTTTAACTCAATTGGAGCAATGGTCCCTCAACTAAAAATCCATTACCTTTGGTCCCTCAACTTATCAAAATGTGCAGCTATGGTCCCTCAACTAAAAATCCATTACCATTGGTCCCTGAACTTTAATTCAAGTGGAGAAATGGTCATTTAACTTTAACCCAATTGTAGCAATGGTCCTTTCAATATAACTCGTTTTGACAAATGTTTTGACATAGTTGACGAAAAGAACCATAATTATACACTTTGATGAGTTGAGGGACCCTAATTGTATAAATGGTCATTCCAACATAGCTTATTTTGACAAACTTTTGACAAAATTGATGAAAATGACTATAGCTACACATTTTGATAAGTTGAGGGACCAATGGTAATGGATTTTTAGTTAAAGGACTATTGCTCTAATTTGATTAAAGTTAAGGGACCATTTGTACATAAAGCGCTTTTCTGGTAATTCCCTATCCCTCTGCCTTCTCAATTTTTCCTCATGAGTTTTTTCAAATTCATATTCTTCGACAATCCAGATCCTCCATACCCCAAATTTGAATCCCAAATGGGGTCTCATAAGAGCAGTTCCAGCGGAGGGCATTTTGCCCAGCACCCAGCTGAAAAACTGCCCAGCACCCTGTGAAACCCCTCCACCAGACCCAATTGATTGGCACCCAGTCCAAGCTGGTCTCTAGCCCAGTCCAAAATTGATTGAGGTGTTGCCCGGTACATCTAACTCATGCTGACGCCAGTTCCCGTTTTCGGGCCTAAAAGGTGAAAGAATAACCAACTAAGCACATGGAAAAGCAGAGACAAGCAAGAACCACCACCACCGCCACTAATGCTTTCACACATCTCACACTTCTCACACGTCTCACACAACACTAGGTTCCGAATCCTCTTCTTTTTTTTCAACAAAAATGGCCCAACTGTTTTAGGCAACCATTGAAGAAAGAAAGAAGGAAATGGTGGGCGTGGGTGGAAAAAATTGAACTTTTTCTATGTTTTCGTTTTGGGGTATGAAAATAAAATTACAACTGAAATGGGTTTCATGTGTAAGCCACGTTTTCTGGGTTGAATTTTGGTACTTGTTTGAGTTCCTGGGTGTGGAGCACCTCCATGGCGAGCTCCGGTGAGGAGACAACAACGAGGTGCCTGCGGGCGTTTGTGTGGAGCTCCGGCGAGGTCCCATCCGTTGGTGTGGAGCACCTCCACTGCGAGCTCCCATTTTTGGGGGAGGAGGTCCATTTCAGGTGCATCAGCTCATTTGAAGAAGAAAACATGGAGAAAAGGGGAAAAAAAAGAGAGGGTAGAGAGAAAGTGCCCCGGAGATGAAATGGAAGCAGGAGAGAAAGAGATTAAATGATAAAATATTAATTGATATGAATAAAATAATATAATATTAGATTGATTGTGTGCCAGTGCATTTTTAGGAGTGGAGATGTTTTGGCATATTACTATTTATTGGAGTCTATTACTGTTTATTTGAGTGGATAAATGCGTTGGGCGCTGGCATCCAGTCTTAGGGGTGGAATTGCTCTAACAACCCAGAACAAGAGCACCCAGATCCTAGTCCCCACCGACCCATCTCAATTGCACGGGTGTGGATTTTCGGCGATATGATCAGGACCAAAGCGACCAAATCCGAGTCCGTGCGATTCAGGTGACCCTAGCACTTACTGCCAGGAGAGGAGCCTGAAGATTTGGATGATTACGAAAAGTGGAATTGGGTTTGATTTGGAGAAGGGTGAAAGAAATCGAGAGGCTTTTCGAAGAAAACGGAGATAACATGGACTTAGCGCTGTTAAGGTGTTCAAGTGCGTGGACAGCTGTCATGTTTTAAGAGAGGCCGCAGTTGCACAGGGTTTGAACTTTAGGTCCAGCAAATCATTGTTCTCATCATATTATTTTCATTTGTTTGTCAAAATTACCCCTCAATTAACATTATCCTTTAATTCTAGATTTACTTGTATTACGAAATTAATTATAATTGATTATTTATCATTAAAAGTAAAGGAAAACTAATGAAAAGAGCTTGAAAACTTTGAGTTTTAATGATAATGACAAAATAAAGGGTAAAATGAATAGTACCAAGTTTGACTTTTTAGTGTAAAAATGTGATTTTTTCGTTAAAATGAACAGTACTGTGGGCTTTTCGTTAAACCTCTCTAAAAGTAATCCCTTAATTGTGGGATTAGTTTTAAACAATATTATCTCCTCCCAAATAAATTCCGTACTACTAGCCTATTTTGCATCGTCTTCATCTTCCTCTATTCCATCTTTTTATTTTCCTCGTCCTTCACTAATCTCTTTCAGAGTTATTTTTTCATCTTCATACACTTATCATATTTGTTATCATATGAGTTAATGTTTTTTTATTTGAAAGTGGGTAGATTAAGGCATTCGAAACTTCAAATTTAAGGAATTTAAATATATTTTTATCTTTTACTCTAAGAAACAAAACGGGCATAATAAAAAATAAAATGAAATTGGACTTAATCCGAAAGCAGCTGAATTTTTTGGACATGGAGTAAAATGCCCAAAAAAAAAACAAGGCGTATTCATATGTTCGTCCTATTAAAAACAAAATCGTAAGGATCTCAGAGAAGAGAGACCAAAGTTGGAACTCAATTCTGTAGGTACGAACTGGTATCAATTAGGGTTTATTCCTGACTAGATTTTTTGACTAGTGAAGCATGGTTGATTTTATTGGTTTCGATAGTGCTCATATATATTATGCTTTCACTTCATTCATTTTATGAACAAATAAGAATAAGAATAGAAAACATGTAACAACTTCAAAAAACTAATAAACATAAATACCTTTGCCACCAATGGTACACCTGCACATTTTTTGGCGATTTCCCTTCCCATTCGCTCTTGATCTTCGGTCACGGAAGCACTCCCATTCCGAAATGCCCTATCCTTTAATATGCGCCAACATTCGTCATCCGATAATTTTTCCAAATCACGCCTGGAAAGTGTTTCCACAATTGATGCAACACTAGCACTGCGGGTAGTGACAAGGATGCTGCTTCCTTGGGTATCTTCAACACTTGACAAACAACTCATCAAATCATTCCATTTATGAGAATCCTCATTCCAGACATCGTCGAGAACGAGAAGATATCGCTTTCCTTTCAAATCTTCTTGGAGATTTTCACATATTGTCGCTTTACCCTTAATCCCAGCCTTTTCCGGTTTAATCTTTTCTAAGATCCCGCTTAAAATCGCCGTGACATTGAAAGGAGTAGATACACATATCCATATTTTTGTATCGAACCGTCCTATCTCGGGATGATGATAAACTGATTTAGCCAAAGTTGTCTTGCCCAGGCCTCCCATTCCCACAATGGCCATAACCGAAATAGAATTCTCCTTATTGTTGCGGGAATTTATCAGGGTTGTAGCTATCTCCGACACAGCCTCCTCCCTTCCAACAATGTACTTCTCATCTGGATCAAAGACAGAGCCGGTTACCCTGTTGTCAGGTACTCTTATACCATCATGAGACGTTGCATCCATTGTTTTCGTGTCAACTAGCCCCAAACCAGTTGCCTCCTCCCTCAGATTGGCCAACAATGCATTGATTTTCTTGATTTTGCGTCCCATATTGTGTCGAAACGCAATGGGATTGTGGTGTGAAAAGAAGTTGAGCACCTTTTTCTCCATTCGGTTTTCAAGTTCCACCTGACGCCGGAGAACTTCGTATTCGTATTCGTCCAGCACTTGATCAGCAGCTTGAGCTACTTCTTCAAGATTCTTCACCCAAATTTGCACCGCTTCGCCCCGATTCTGCGAATGCTGGGCCGCATCTCGCAGCATAGCTTGAATCTTGAACAATGATTGCCGCAGCCGTGCGACTTCTCCTTTGAATCCCCAGAGGAGACTGAATTCTTGCTCGGCTAGTGAAGCCACCCTAGTCAGTATCCCCTCGGCAGCAAAAGTAACAAGTTCTGCCATCTTTCCTTGCAAACTATTGAACTCGAAGAAGACAGTGAATAATCTCAGTTGAGAAAAACCAACAAGAAGACTGAGGGTAGTTTACAACATGGAATTATTGAATTGAATAATTGTGAACTCACATGCTTCACCGGCCCCACAGGCTTGAGTTCACAACATGGAATTATTGAATTGACTTATTACAGCATGGAATTATTGCATTGAATAATTGTGGGTTGGCCCCAGCACGTGGGTTGTCTGCACAAGAGGTAGAACCAAAAAGAACAAAATAAGAAGAATGACTAATTGTCCACTGAATTATTGCATTGAATAATTGTGGGTTGGCCCCAGGAACAAAATAAGAAGAATGACTAATTGTCCACTGCATTATTGCATTGAATAAGTGGGTTGGCCCCAGCACGTGGGTTGTCTGCGCAAGAGGTAGAACCAAAAAGGACAAAATAAGAAGAATGCCAATTAAGCGCATAGGTAGGAAGAAGATTGATGATGTTGACGGCTACAAGGGCAGCTTCAACCCCGAATTCATGAGTGTGGAGTAAGGTCCGGATTGAAGTGGCTATATACGATGAAGCTTATGTTCGGCAAGCTCATTATGTTAAGGATTATGGAGGCATGAGTAGCGCTAGGGGTGGGTTCAAAAAACCGAAAACCGAAAAAAACCGAAAACCAAACCGGTCCGAGGCCAAAAAAAACCGAACCGAAACTGTCAAACCGAACCGAACCGAATCTGGTCAGTTCGGTTTCGGTTTTTGAGGTTCGGAAACCGAACCGAACCGATATATATATATTTAATTATTTTTTTCAATATTATAAATAGTTTAGTCATACAATCATAACAAAACAAAACCTGTTGCCAAGTTGGTTTCAGGGAAAATTTTCAAGTTGCAGCGCAAGGGTTCGAACCCTTATGCCTCCAACATTTCAGAAAAGTTTTTTAATTTTTTTGAGAAATCAACAAAACCCTTTAAGTTAACCCTAGCCACTAGCAGCCACACCTTTTATTCATTCCCCTCTTCTCTCTCTCGTTCCCTTCCCTGCCTCCAGTGTAACCCTAACCCAGTAACCTTCTCGTGCAGCCGAGCCTCCTCTCTGTCTTTCTCAAACTCTCTGTCTCTCTTGGTCTTGAATCCCAGGCGACCCGCGACGGCGCGACCCTTCTCACTCTCAATCTCTCACACCTCGCCCTCGCCGTGAGCTTCTTCTTGCCGTTTCGAGCCCCAAAAATCAAACGTCGCGGCAAACAGGCGCTGAAAAATGGATGGGGGGAGTTCCGGCGCTGCTTCCGACGCTGCAATCGAAACCCTATGAACCAGAGGATGGTGCTTCGGCGACCTCGAACAAGTGAAGGCGATGATCCTTATCCACTCCGCCTTGTCCGATGACACGCGTACTGTGGTGGATTCGGTGGAGTTGGAGCTCACCAACATGGACCTCAAATCCATCTCCTCCAGGTCCTTGCCCGACCCGCATACCCTCCGAAAGTCCTCTCACCTCCTCGGCCCCAAAGTCCTCCAGGTATTGACTCCTCACAAGTTTTTCTTTCTGTATGTTTACATATTCTTTTTTCTGTGTGTGTCGAACTGGTGGTTAAACATGAGATTTTTTATAAAGTACATACTTATATCTGGTGGTTGGACTATGTGGTATTCAATTTTGTTCTGGATTCTCGAGGAAGGTAGACCTGTTTAGTAGCATACTGCTTTTATGTAACATATAGCTAAGATTTGTGCTGAAGCAATGTTGGTGAATCAGAAAAAGCTTTTGCAGTATGGTGCTAAATTTTTACTTTTACAGACAGTAATGATGATCTGATAAGGAAATTTTAGCACTTGCAAAGGAACATAGTGATAGTATAAGCATGAGCAACTCTTGTTGAAGTTTTCTGGTTTAAGAGACCAAGAAACGCTTTTAAATTCTGAAATTCTAGTCATTAACATTATGTAAATTAGTTAAAGTTTTCGTATTGAATTTGAATGCCATTTCCCTACTTGCCCCTGTTTTGGGATCAGAACTCACTTGTTCCAGGCTTGTACCGGTGATAGTCACTGGCACTGCATCAAAAGACAGGTATAGATTAGAAGCTATTAAGTTAAACTACGCTTTTTGTTTGATTTAGTTTGCACGGTAGGGCTGAGAATTTCTTCTTGTAGGGTACCAAACATCAAGTTCAATGTGGCTAAGGTGTTGCAGTCGATTATTCCGATAGTTGATCAGTCAGTAAGTAATATAGATCTTTTCATTTGATAGTCCTTACGCAAAGGAGCATAATTTTCAAAATACAATACTGAAATCGAGTTAAAGCACTGAAAGCACTTATGCGTAACACGCTTTGCACATGTGGTGGAGAAAACTATTCGTCCTTGTTTGCTTGAGCTTAGTGAGGACTCACACCTCAGTACAACATAAACCTGATGTTTATGCCCAAACAAATATCTATGACGAGCATCAGCGATCACAATGGGCATGGCGTGTGTGTGTTGTGTTATGTTGAATAACCAAAAAAGGATGACTCTGAAGTGACTTTGAATGTAAACTTTCATATTTTCAATTTTTTTTAAAAATTTTTGGAGGAAGAAAAAAAAAAAAACCGAAAAAAAACCGAATCTGAACCGAAAAAAACTGAAAAAATTTGAACCGAACCGAACCGAAATTTCGGTTCGGTTTTGATTTTGGGAAAAAACCGAACCGTTGATAACCGAACCCAGCCCTAAGTAGCGCTGCTCAATGCTTAACTCATGACAAAAAGTAGAAAAATGATTGACTAACACACTTATTATCATTTTGAAGAACCTGAATAGCAGCATGAAAAATATTGCGAACCATAGCCACAAAGGTTTTAAAGTGATCAAGATTTCCGATTTTTGTTCCTTGGGATAGATAAAGGAGTAGCGGAAAATTTTAACAGTGAATAAAACATAATAACGAAACCACCAAAAGAAATAAAGTAATAGAGGATAAATCTTATCCTTACATTGGCCTTGAAAAAGCAAGAAATTAGCACGCAAGCCATAAATTTGATAGAAATTAGGAGGAAAACAAAAGGGAAAATTAGGTTCACATCCTTTTTTTTGTTACTTCATTGATTAAAATCCTATTCATTTTCAATTTTTGATCAAGGTCCTTGGGTATTAATAACATCATTAATTATTTGAATAATAAAATATTTTTATTTTTAAATATATTCCTTTAATGTTAAAAATGTTACAATTAGTATATTTATATTTATGGCTAAATTTTTATCATATATTATCATTAATTATTTGAATAATAAAATATTTTTATTTTTAAATATATTCCTTTAATGTTAAAAATGTTACAATTAGTATATTTATATTTATGGCTAAATTTTTATCATATATTTTTATTTTTAGTTTGTACCTATTTTTAATTTGCAAATATTTTTTAATTTGTACCAATTTTCTTTTCATTTTTAATTTGTACCCATATATAAGTTTCCTTTTGTGCTCATATTTTTTAAAATTTTATTTGTGTTTGTACCCATGTGTATACCGTCACGTGACATTGTAAATTTAATCAATAATAGAAAAATTTCATATGGTATATTTATGTTTTTATGCCTAAACTTTGTATCATATATTTATATTTTTAGTTTGTACCCACTTTTAATTTGCAACATTTTTTTTTTAAATTTGTAGTATTTTCTTTTTAGTTTTATTTTGTACCCATGTATTAATTTCTTTTAGCGCCTATATTTTTAAAAATTCATTTGTATTGATAATTTTTAATCTTTTATCTGTACTCTAATTTATTTCTAATGTGCCCATTCTTCTTTATTAATGTACCACTTTGTTATATGTGAAATGTACCAATTTTTTTGTAAAATGTACCAATTTTTTTAACACTATGGATACATTCTTTTGCCATTGATTATTTCTTATTTTTACATAGTTTTTATCCATTTATTCAATCAAAATGTTTGAATTTGTTTATTGTAACCATTTCTAATAGTATTATAATGAGAGATTTTAAATTTATAGGATTATAAATCTCATAAAATATCAAACAATTAATGTCAAAACTATAAAAATATAAATATTAATAGTAATATAATGAGGTGTACAAAGTCAAGGGACTTTGATCAAACTTTGAATACTATTAAGGTTTTAATCAAAGAATGTTAAGGATTAGGGATCGCATCCAAAATATCCCAAAACAAAACGAACAAATTTTTTTTAAGTAAAGCGGTCAACAGAGAGAAGATGTTTTCGAAGTTCAAAAATAAGAAAGACATTGCGGGAATGAAATTTGGTGGGACTAAAAGTGAGAGGAACGGTAGTAGTATAGTTAATATTCATTGTTTCAATTATCCAATTAAACATTGGTCGTACCATTGTAAAGTTTAGTAGCCGGAAGATGGAAGATGGAAGATTGTCTGGTCATATGCTGAGTGGCGCTGATTTCAAAAATTAAATTGGATCAGACAGGGAAACAAAGTGGGTGCCGACTAATTAAGGGAGGGTCCGTATGAATTTCACTATTATAATTTACATATTTGTATTATTGAGATGTTATATTATTTCTCGAGAATTTATTTGAATTTAGATTTTAATTAAACTAGTTACGAAGTTTGAAGTTTGGAAATTAATTATTTAAAATCCGTAGACCTTTCGAGGTCACAATTTATATTTTCGAATAGATCTCGAAACCACGAACGTTTAGGCGAAAGCCGTTTGCAAGTCCAGGTTATAACGGTATAGTTACGGATGTTTGAAGTTGTATTACTAAACTATAGATTTTAGAAATTATTTAAATTCCCACTTTGAGGGAAAAAGCCCAATGAGGTATGTGCTTTTGTGGCCAATCAGAAATAAAGGTTGAAGGGCGGACCAATCAGAAACAAGAAAGAAAGAAAAAAAAAAACTAATGAAAATGGCTTGAAAACTTTGAGTTTTAATGATAAGGACAAAATAAAGGGTAAAATGAATAGTACCATGATTGACTTTTTAGTGTAAAAATGTGGTTTTTCGTTAAAGTTCCCAAGAAAAAAAGAAGGGGAAAGGAGAGAAAGGAAAGGAAGGAGGAACCGGCCAAACCCGACCCGGTTGATTTTCCGGTGGAAATCCATCAATTTTCAGACAAATTGAGAGGTTCCACCCCCACCAATCATCATTACGTTACTCTATCTTCAATTTTCCACCTTAATTCGAGCGGATTTGGTTTCGTTTCATGATGAATTGTGTTGTGGGTGTCCCGAAGTCACAGAGGCGGCATCTGCCATTTCTGCAAGCTCCACCATCGATCATTACCATCTTTCAGCTCCTCATGAGGCCATAAACAAAGCCCAAGCAACTGTATGGGTGGCGGAGCCCTGGAGGTGCTAGATCGAAGACCACCTTTTCTAGGGTTTCCGGCTGATCGAGGCTATTTCCGGCCACTTCCCAGCTGAACTAGGCTTCAGCCTAGGCATGAAAAATGTTCCTCTCCTTGAGTTTTGCATTTTTACAAAATTTGGTAATTTTTGGAATTAGTTGAATTTTCCGGCGAGTCGGGGCGGCCAACCGCCACCCGCGGCGGCTCGTGGCCAGTGGGCTAACTATGTCTTTTTAAGTACTATTAGATGCCCTGGGTTCATGTTTGATATTCGTATGACGTAATTTGATTGTTTGAACTTAGTTTCATTACGATACATTACTTGATCAAAATATAGGAATTGACGATCCGACCGTTGGGTCGTCACCAAACTTTAATACGTAATAATACGTAATATTTGAGGACCATAGGAACTGACAGATCGGGAATTTGACCTACAGATCTTCCCAAATTGGATTTCTAAGTTTGTAAAATAAATTGTTAACTGCCACCTAACCTAGTAATTGGCGGAGATCTGACCGTTTGATTGTGATGAAATTTTAGCATGTTGTTTTAGAAGCATAATGTAGACCTTAGGAGATTACGAATCTGAAATCCGATGTGCAGATCTTCCGGATTAGTTTGCTAGGGTGTGGACCCCACTGTTGACTGAGAGTTGACTTTTGGTCAACATGTTTGGAACCATTTGAATTACTAAAATTAGTATTACTAAAGACTCAGTGAGGCTTTACGTACTTGTCTCGGCGAGTGACTATGTATGTGATATGGTTATTACCCTGTTTTCTTATATTAGTATCCTTTGTGGATATGGCATGGTTTTATAAACGTGTTTTCTATTAAAATGTGATTTTTATAATTGGCCATCGATCTATTTTTGTCAAATGTGATCTGATTCATGGATTGGAATTATTTGTGAAATTTGAAGTGCATATTGAAATGTTTGTTAAACATGAGGGTTAGTGGATGACTGTTACCTTAGTATCACGGGGTTAGGTGACATCGAGTCTACACCATGTAGTAGTGGTACATGGATGGTCCTGCTTGGTTAATCCGCATTGGGGGACCATACTATTTATGGATCGCGCTTGGTTAATTCGCATTGGGCCATCCTTATGGCCATTTATATTTAGGGGTGATCATTCTTGGTTAATCTGCGTTGGGGGGTCACTAGTGATCCTGCTTGGTTAATCCGCGTTGGGGGACCATACTATATATGGATCGCGCTTGGTTAATCCACGTTGGGCGATCCTTATGGCCATGTATGCTTAGGAGTGATCATGCTTGGTTAATCCGCGTTGGGTGATCACTTCCTAACAGCTGTAGGAGTGACTATGCTTGGTTAATCCGCGTTGGGGGGTCACTGCCTACTTGATTACTTTCTCAAGGGTAGCTCTGCTTGGTTAATTCGCTTTGTGGGGCCACTTCCTGTTTGGTTACTTATGTAGGCTTTAGTTTAACTGCGTCCCTCTAGCCCTAGTTTTTAATGTACATATGAACAATGATTTTTTAAGAATCTTGTGGTTTGAATTAGAAAAACCGTTGGATGTCTGGGTGACTCTTACGGAGTTTTCAGCAACTTGATTATGATTCCATAAAGCATGATTCTATACTTGATGTTTATAGATTGTGATCGATGGTTTGTTTTTATTGAATATCACGTACTTGTATGATTGTCACTCACTCGAGCCTCACATCTTATCTGAGTGCCTGATTTGCCCACTGTACCATTCCCATAATGTAGGCATTGATTTTACATGTGACACGTCTAGGTAGATTACGAGAAACCGCTTGATATTTTGGTTCCGTTAAGTGGTCCGGAACCCGATATTGTTGGATTCCGTTGAGTGGTCTGGAATCCTTGCTCTTGCTCATTTCTATAAAGTTATCTTAGAATCCTAGATTCAAGTGAATAGGGATTACCCACATTTAACCTTGTGAATTTATATACCATGTTATTACTCAAATCCAAGCAGGGAAGTATATAGAGCTCTTTAATTAAATTCGTGAAATGATTTGTTATCTCATTGATTGATTAACATAGTTAAAAGTCAAAATCGTGCATCTTTGATTCATGAATTGATTAAGTAACGGGATTTTGGAATGACGTTAGATATGATTGTTATTAGTATGATTATTTTAGTTGATCAATGTGGCTAGAAAATAATATTGTGCTTGTTGATTCTTTAATATGTGACATGCTATGTATTGTAATTTTATGTGGGGAAACTTGATGATTTATGCGATGGGTGAAGTGGAGATATTAATGGTCATGTGGGATTGTTATGTAATCTTGAAACTAGTAATTTCATGCATGATGAGTTCTAATAATTGATTGATGAGTGCTATGATTTTCCACTTAAACGTACTGTGATAAAAGTTGAGGGAAGTGTTTGGATGAACTACGAATGTCTTGATCCCTTCTTAGGGTACGTAGGAAGTCTAACGAGGAAGTTAGATGCAGTCATAAAGTATACAAAAAATTATTATGCATTTGGTTCTCGGGTTGTGCCTTGTCCATATCTCATAGGTGCGGTATGTTAGATATATAGATACTTGGTGAAGTCACGTGTCGATTCTGACCGTATGTTGAGATCGGGGTGTGACAATCCGAGTCGAGTCTATGAAACTGGTGCGGGCAAGAGGCTTGGTTGTGTTGTGAGGTGGTACAAGTGTAACACCTAGGGGGACGCCACAAGGCTCGTTGTTGTCATTGAGAGGCAAAGGGAGGGCCATGCATAACAAGTCGAAGACACCATAAAGAAAAGAGGAGAGTCATGACAAAAAATGCAAAAAACTAAGTCGTTTATTACGAAGAAAAATCGCAACTCACATGGCGATAGGTCCCAATAGATTGTGTGGATATCCAGACTATCTCGGATTGGACTAGTTGCAGGGACTAAGCTGGACTGGCTTAGACTATACTAAATTGGACTAACTTAGTAAAGCGTTTGGTGCAGTGTCACGACTAAGGAACAAACTAATAACAAATTCCAATATTATATTATTTAATTCATATTTATTAATATTTTACATTATTTAATAAATATTTAGTAATATTTTATTATTACTTCTGTCTATTTTCTCATTCTAGAAACCTTCCCGTTCATCCCCTCTTTCTTCCTTAATTTTCTCCGCCTTTCTTCCTCTGTTTTCTTCCTAATTCTTCTTCGTCCCTCTCCCTTGTTTTTTTTTTGTCCCTCTCCCTCTTCATCTCCATCTTCTTCTTTCGTTCTCCATTCATCTCCCTATTTTCTTCCTTTTTGTTCTCTGTTCATCTCCCTCTTTTGATGAAAGAAACTAACGTCAAAATTAAACCCAGAAGTTGTTCATCTCCCAACTTCATAATCGACTGCAAATCTTCACAATCAAACCACAAAGCAAGAAAGAGATTGAAAATTTAGGAGTTAGGAGCAGGTTGCATGTGCGCTTGGCCCGAAGGTAGAAGATGGGGGTTGGATCTGGTTTGTGTTTTCTGAGTTTTTGGTTTTCTGGGTTTTGTGATTGAAAATTTCAAGCTCACGTCACTGCAGATTTTTTGGGTTTTTGGTTTTCTCGGTGTTGTGTGATTGAAAATTTCAAGCTCATCTCACTTTCAGATTTTTTTTTTTTAGGTTTTCTGATATTTTGGGTGTTGGATGTGGTTTTGAAAATAGAACGTTTGCAGATTTTTCTTCTAGTTTGTTTCGGTTTTTCCAGATCTGGTCTTGAAGATGGTTTTAGGAAGCGAGGATGAAGCATATGGATGTGCGAAGCGGAAGGGGGAAGCTAAGGTCTTAGCAGTCCGCCCGATTTCGAGGGGTCTCGCTAAGCCCTTTTAGTGAAGTGTTTAGTCCAATTTAGTCGGGGCGAGTCCCATTAAAGTTAGGCCCTTCCGTAAACAAACACAGGATTAGATTAAAAGGTAATCATGTCCAGTCTAGTGAGAGCTAAGGAGGGCAATCAAACACACCCTAAGTCAATAAAGGCTACTGTGATTTTATTTTTTGTTTTCTTGGTATGAAAAAAGCCCCATAATAAGGTTTTGGATAGAAAATGATATGACTAGACCCTTAGACGTTGTCATAAAGAAAAGAGGAGAATCATGACAAAAACCTTAAAAACTAGTGAGAGTACCATAAGTGAATAATATCATAAGTCAATAGAGGTTGCTGTGATTTGATTTTTTGTTCTCTTGGTGTGAAAAAGTCCCACAAGAAGGTTTTTGACAGAAAATGATATGATTAGACCCTTAGATGTTGTCATAAAGAAAAGAGGAGAATCATGACAAAAACCCTAAAAACTAGTGAGAGTATCACAAGTGAATAATACCATAAGTCAATAGAGGCGGCTGTGATTTGATTTTTTTTTCTTGGTGTGAAAAAAGGATTAAGATTCTCTCTCCTCCTTTTTCCATCTCTTTCTATTCCCTCTTTTCACATTCTTTATGTTGCATGTCTCTTTCTATAAAATGTTAACATGATTTAACCATGATTGTTCAAATAGGAAGAGGAAAGAGGAGAGAAAAAAACGAAGAAAAAAAAAAGGAGAGAATCCTTCTCCGTGAAAAAGTCCCACAAGAAGGTTTTTGACAGAAAATGATATGACTAGACCTTTAGACACTGTCATAAGAGCAAATCCACCCCTAAAGACTTTGCGCCAGCACCCAGCGCATTTATCCACTCAAGTGAACAGTAATAGACTTCAGTGAACAGTAATAGGCTAAAGCATCTCCGTCCCTAACAAAAAATAGCCTAGTCAATTTTATTAAAATATTATTATTATTATTATAAAATAATAAAAATAATAATTTTATTAAAAAAAAAAGAGGAAAAGTCAGGAACCTCCACGGTTCCACTAGAACTCTCTCTCTATACTCTCCCTCTACATCCCCAAACACCAAACGCCACTCCCGACGCCAACTTGCTTCAACCTCCATCTGCATCTCTCTCTCTCCCTCTTTGTTGGGCGGAGCTCTGCAAAAACCCACCACCCTATGTAATGATAATCCCACCGGATTCCAACTTTCCTTCCGGTTCACAATCCCCAATCTTTATTCCTTTACAATTTTCCAACAATTTTGCCTATCAAATTCCCTATCAATCCAACCCCACTAACCCAATTTGATCTTTTCCTCAACCGGTGGTTCCTTCGGCAGTAGCTGCCGCGGATCCAGCCTGTCACCCGCCCGGCACCAACCCGTATGACAATTCGGGCTGGTACCCGTGGACCCGTGTTGGATTCCGAGGTCAGACGCCGTTTGGTGAAGGCCCCGAAATCTCCCTCCGCCCCAGAATCAACCTCAGCCCCGAGGAGTTTTGCGATGTGTTGATCGTGGGAGAGGTTGATGGCCCGGCTGACGTCAGATGGCCCGGCATGTGGGTCTGTTGATTTTAGGCTGGTCTTTTGCCTGGCTTGGGCTAGGTGCCGGGTTGGTTTTTTGGCTAGGTGCTGGCCTATCAGTTCCCTGGTGGAACTGCTCTAAGAAAAGAGGAGAATCATGACAAAAACCCAAAAAACTAGTGAGAGTACCATAAATTGAATAATACCATAAGTCAATAAAGGCTGCTGTGATTTGATTTTTTTTTTTTTTTTTTAAGTTAGGAGGCATAAATTGAATCTAGAGGAGCATCTAAGCCATACGAGAGAAATTGAACCAAAAAAAAAAATATTACTAATGGGAGAAAAAAGGTTCATTTTTGTAGTGCAATAAAACAATTTAGTTAAAAGAAAGTAATGAAGTCACAATTTGTTTTTGTTAAGATAATTATATCATAAGCACCAAACTTCTTTATAAATTTCTACATTGAAGTTGAATAAAAATGAATAATTGTGGCTTAAAACTGCAGCTATGAAAATTGTCTTTAAGATAAAATTTTCCTCTATTTCATATATTCATGGTTTCACTACAAAACAACTATCTGTCATGCAAAATAGTGAACTAAGAAAGGCTTGTTGATGTAAGGCTTTTGTTTCATAACAATACTACTGTAAAACAATTTTTTTTTTTTTTGTCATTTAGAAAAACACAATAAAGCTAGATGAGAGCAAAAACACATAAGTCGAAGAATGCAGAGTATCCAACCAAAAGGATACAAACATAAATTACCAAATGGTTAGATCCTTAAACGTTGTCCTAAAATATTTTTGTGAATATTTTAAAAAACAAAAAAAATTAAAAATTTTGACACTGATTTTTTTTTTTAATTATTATTATTATTTTTTACAAAAAAACGTAACTAGAATGCCTTCATTAGTCGAAGGGTTTCTAGTTCATCTCATTCCCAACATTATATGGACACGCTTGATATGGGGAGGATTGGAAACCATCCTTGTTAGGCCACTTCACTAATTTTTTGGTAATTTCCCAAAATAATCCAACAACAACAACAAGTAATTCACAAAAAATAAACAAGTAATTCACAAAAAATAAACAAGTAATTTGTGCAAGTATATGATATAAATATTATTTATCTATGAGTGCAGTTGCACAGCAGCACACCAGCAAGGAATAGATACACGTGCGTGGGACAAGTTTCCACTCAAAATGTCCAATGGGCTCCACCATTTTTGTCCCTATACTATCCTATGTGTAGGGACTTATCTTATGCATCTGATGTGTGAAATCCTGTCCCCGGATTTCACTAAGTTTACTTTTGATAAATACCTTTCTTGAATCATGCAATTAAATGCATTATAAAATAAGCAATGAAAAGGGTCTCAAATAGCTAATTTTAAATAAGAAAAACACTTAGTAATATAAATCTCTAATATTAGAAAGCTAGAATATATATCTAAAGGGAGAAGGCAAAAATGTTGGAACTTTCATAATAAAAATTACCTTTCTCTAAAAATAAAAAGAATCACAAAAAATACCCACGTAATAGGACTAGGGGTGGTTGACACACCCCGATCTTAGAATCAAGGGGTGCTAGCCGTCACGTGAGCGCGACGTAACCAAAAGTGCGATGCGGAAGCAAGAAGATACGAGAAATACGAAGGAATAAAAACCAACTACTAGCAATAACAACCAACTAGTATGCTAGAGTAAGTTTAAGTGTGAAACACACAAATTCAGAGCATAAATACTAGGTGCAGTCAAGTAGGACTATAACTAAAATACAACACCCGCAGGTGAGTCCTACATGCAAGAAGTCTGTCAGAACGCCGTGGAAATAACCTCGTGAGCCACCAACTGCTAACTAGAACCTGGAGGGGCGCAAAATAAGATTGAGTGGGTCAGTAAAACAAAGTTTTTTGAAAACATTTCAAATAATAACATTTCTAACCCCTCGCTGTAAAACCTGTATACTTTCCCAGAAAATAGTATATATATATAACCATATATAATCTCAAAACTCAAGTCACAAGTCTTTAACACTTTTCAAGAAAACATGTCATGCTATGCATCAAAACATAATAAGGATGCAACATTATAACAGGTGAAATAAGGAATCAACCGGAGACCCTGCAGTTGGTCCTGTACGGTTAATTCTGTAGCTCAATATCCAAACCAACCGGAGTCACCACTGTGACATGGACGACACTACTCTGCACATAAGTCGGAACTACCTAAAGTAGTCTGTACGACAAGAATGGTGTAAGAATATGCTCTAGTGCTTCTCCCATCAACAGCTGTATAATAATCTAAAGTCACATACAAGTCGGAACCTTTTCATGGTCTGTACGACATGCACCTACTTGGATCCAAGGTGAGCGTGTGGTGCGAGGTGAATAATATAAGCACTAACACCAGAGGTGCAGGTTTGAGCTTTCAATACAATTTACATCATCACTAAATCACATGAATAATATAAACCTCACATGATACTCACCTGTGCGTCCACAGCACCATTTAACATATATATGCAACAATCACTAATTCATATATTTCATATATATGTATGCATGACATTTTAAAACATACTTTCATTTAAATTCAATTTCTGGGAAAAATCAATAGTATATAGGTAAATATAGAAAATACTGCCCACTCACTAGTAAGTCGAAGGGTCGTAGCCCCCGTGACGCCTTTGGATGCGCTCGTCCTTGTGATAGGTATCACCTATATGCGAAATAACTATAAAAACGTTATTTAAAGCACATAACCAACAATACGTAATAACTTCTCATACGATGCTCAAATTAGGTATATGAATATACCACAGTGACCTACTCGACGTCACGGACGTCGAGGTATTTTTAGAAAAAAATTTGGACGCCGCACGCGCCCCCATGCGCCGGGAGGGGCACAAGTCTACGCGCCCCCACGCGCGTCGTCTTCTTCCTCCAGTCGCCGAACTGGTTTCGCCGGCGCCGGAAACTGGAGATTTTTCAATCTCCTTGTTCTCCATCATTTCTCAACCATTTTCTACGCATTTTATATCAAAATGAAGCCCTAAGCATGTAGAATCACATTACACTACTTTAAGGCTTTAAAAATGACGAAATCTCACCGGAGAAATTCCAAGAAAACCGGCCAACTTCGAACCCTACGATCCCTACGTCCAAATCCTTCAAACTAGGTACTCCGGGCTTCCTTAGGACCTCACTAAGCTCACTATGAGCTTAGAATTCCCTGAAAATCAACAATTCACGTGTGCATGAACAGTACTCAAATCGGACCTCGAGTTTTCAACGTTATATCGAGGGTTCTAAGTTCTAAAAATTGCACCATTCGACTCAAAAGATTGCAAGGATGAAGAAACTCACCTTTTTGGCGTCGATCCGTGATATTTTGAGGGTTTTGTTCTTTGTTCGTACAGTTTCGAGAGGGAGAGAGTGAGAGAACTGAGAAGGAGGAGAGAGAGAGAGCACGGGGAAGAGAGAGAGAGCTTGTCTCGTGTGTGTGTGTGGTCCATCCCAAAACAATCACCATCCAATTTTCTTAAGTCTCTAACCACACAAAATACATACAACCTTTAATCCAATTTAAAATTTCCAAACTTAGGAAAGTATGTATTATTTAATAACACGTCACACACATACCTTAGCAGCAGTTAAGGAAAATT